CCGACCTGCCGCGGGGCCGGGGCCGAGCTGGAGGGCTCTCTGTTTCAATTACCAGCTTAATAGCGACATCGAAACCCATTAAAAATGCATCAGTGCCTCCGAGGAAAGAACTTCAGGAGAAGCAGAAAATTCATCACTCTGAGTTCCCTTATTAGGAGAACTGGTGGTTTTTTTCCCCCCATTTGTCTCAAATGCAGGCGAAAAGAGGCTATTTCTGCCCGGTGACTTCCCTGTGGGTCTGTCATGAGGTGTAAACAGGCAGTCCCCAAATCTGGGCGAGGGGGACACAGCCCTCGCTGCAGAGAAGGGAAAACTCAGCACATCCAACACGGGGAGAGGACGTTGGGACCATCAGGGCTGCAGCAGCTCAGCCCTCCTGAATTTACGTGCCAGCAGCTTTCCCTGCCCTTTGCTGAGCAGCATGTGTTGGGAGCACGGTCTCTCTTAAGAGGGCAGAGCCCCAAATGTGCTCTCCCAGTATAGCGTGGGTCTTTGTACTGGTCGTACTGGCCCTTTGCTGGGCTGGTGGGTCTCCCCAGGAGCTGCTGAGCTGGAGCTCATGCCGTTCCTGAAGAGCCGTTTCTGGAGGAGGGCTGGCTAATAGCATTAGCAGGGGGTGTGATGATGCAGCCAGTTTTCTGGGGCTGCGGGTTATTTATTTTGCTTAATTTTTCTTCTTTTTCTGAAGGTGGCTGAGACTGTATCTAGGGCGGGTTTTTTTTTTTTTTTTTGGTTCAGGTGGCCTGTGGACACCTTCTAGATCGATAGCGTAAATTAGAGGGTTCACGCAGGCCATTGGTTTGTATGAGATGTGTTCAATCCTCCCTTAATAGCTGTCTCACCCAGAAACTTCCAACGCTCCCACTCTCGTAGCACCTAAGTGCTAATGAGCTGAAGCTGCAGAATACCAATGAGACCTCAGGAATATGGTTCAGCCTTTCCAGGCCCAGCCAGGCTAGCCTGAGGCTTTAAAATCATTACAGCTGGCACCTGGAGGGACTAGCGTAGCCCATCAGAGAGGGAAGGGGTTAAGTGAGGTGCGCTTGGGTGGAGAAGGTCTTTGCTGCCCGTGGTGAGATGCTGTGGATGTCTCCCAGCTCTCCTCTCCAAACAGAAGGGTAGGTGGCTTGTTTTGGGGCGAGGAGAGTTCAAGCTCTGGTTTAATCATGGGTATCCAGGGGTTTTGGTGCCCTCCCTTTTTCCCCTGATAACTGGTCACCCCTGGACAGGAGTTTCTAAGCTTTGCTCTGTTTTCACCGCTGGCTTGGATAAAGTATCTCCCAGCCTTTTCTGTCTGTCCTAGCAGCCTGGTTTGCAAATCCGGCTCCAGCCTGTGCGCATTTATGGAGCGAGCCATGGGACCGGTCCATGTGTAGCTGCTTTGCTGCTGCATTCCCCTGGGACCTGCATCAGGGCCAACGGCAACTCCCCATTGATGGGGTGCTGGAAAACTGGGGTGACTTTCTGCTGCCTTCAGCAGGAGCCCCAAGGCAGGGGGAAAACTCCCGGCTTGCCCGGCAAACGTGGACCTCCTGGCTTCCCTCTCAGCGCAGGAGCCCCAAGGCAGGGGGAAAACTCCTGGCTTCCCTCTCGGCTTGAAATTCCTGTTGATTTTTCAGAGGTGGGGAAATGTGGGGGTGGGAGAAGGAAGCCTTAGCAGTGCAAAGCCTGAAAATATGGAAGGTTGAAGTGAAAACTTCGGGGGGGGGGGACCGAAGAGGTCACCTCCTACGCAGGGAGCCCCAGTCCTCTAGCAGGTTTGCCTGGAGGCTTTCCAGCCCCCGTGAGCGGTGGCTCTGGCCCTTCGCATGCTGTGTTAACCTTTCTCGAAATACCAAGCGGTGCTGGAACAGGCTGTTTATTTCCAGACGCCGGGAGCGGCGGTGAGTGCTGCAGGCACGTGGGCAGAGGGCTGCGGAGAAGCCTGGCAAGCCAGGGCGGCTTTTGCACTTGATTTACATCTTGGAGCAGCTCGGGGTGGAGGAGATGGGAACCTTGATGGACCAAAGCAGTTACCTTGATATCAGCTGTGTTTTCCTTGGTGTCATTCCGTGCTCAGGGCCGCTTATGTCTCTTCTAGAGTGATAGGCTCTTTTCTTCTTATGGAAGCTGAGATTTCATAAATAAAATCCAAGGTTTCAGACAAAAGCTCCAGCTTGGGTCTGAAGCTGCCCCAAATGCCATGAAGCACGCGTTGCGTGCGTGGCTTCTCCAAGCATCGCCGCTCTGGCTCAGTGAGGCAATTAATTATTTCCAGACAAAAACTTGTCCTGACCCTCTGCAAAGGCCCTGCAGAATATCACCGTCTGCAACAGGTCCTGTTCAGTGTCGGCGACGAGAAGCTGTTGAATGAGCTTGAGGGTACCCCAGGATGTGACCGAGCAATGGAAGCCGTGCCTGGTGAGCCCTTGCTGGTGGCAGGAGGCGTTTAGCTGGTGTGCAGCTGTCCCCAGCCCTGGGAACAGGAGCCCCAGCCATGCTCTTTGCCTCCCCCCTTTGCAGGGCTCGTAATTGCTGTGTAAATACACAGCAGCTGCCGTGCAAATCTGGAGCTGCCTCACCTGGATTGATACAGGCTGGTGCTGCGCAGCTCCGGGGACAGGGAGCAACCTGGCAAAGCCAGGCTGGAGTGATGGGCAACGTTGTTGGGTGCAATTTTGGGAGCCTGGGGTAAGCCAGGAGGATGCAGAGGTGCTGGTGGTTTCTAGGGTTCTGCCAGCGCAAGGTGTCGGGGTGGCAGCAGTGCTTCTCAGGGAGCGGTACCTCCAGGTTGTCTTCCCACCCCATTGGTTTTCTTAGGGCTGTTGAGGTTTTTTTGAGACTTATGCTGTGGCTGTCATGTGCCAGGGTCTGTGGCTTTGCTCCATGCCTCATCCGGGGGCTCTTCCCCCTTACAAGGGACCGTTGCTGCACCTTTCTCCTCAAAACCTCATTTCCTGGCCCCTAACGTGACGGGGAACCCGCAGTCCTGGGCACAGCCACATCTACTCGCGCGTCCGAGGATGCAACCCTGGTTCCCGCAGCGCTTCTGGGTCCTGGGACAGGGGTTCTAGCCTGGCTCCTGTGGCCATCAGCGCCAACGAAGGGTTGGCTCTTGTTTGGAAAGACGTTTCGTGGGGCCTTCCTGCTATCAGAGTCTCACCCCAGCTCCCCTCCCTGCTCGCTGCCTCGTGCTGAGCCCCCACCTCTGGGGGCAGTTGGCATCTGGTGCCAGAGATGTGTTTTGTGGCAAGTGCCTGGCTCGCTGCTGGCTGTCCCGGCAGGTTGGCTGCGCTCTTCCTTTTCCCGTCTATTAAAGAAGCGAAGCAGAAGCTCGGGTTAAAAGGAACTAGAGGAAAGGGGTTTTCAAAGTGTTGTGAGGGGGCAGTCGTGGGGCTGGGAAAGGGGCTGGTTTGCACCGAACAGCCATGCAGGGACGTGCAGCATCAGGGCTTGTGAACCCCCATCAGCTTTTCTCCTTTCTGATGGCCAGGAGGGACTGTCCCTACGGTCCCATGTTGCGATGGGAGCAGGGAGTCTCCTGAGCAGGTTTGGGGTTGCCTGAGCTAGGAGAGCCATCTCCAAAGTCACGGAGCTCTGGGGCTGGAGACTCTGCCCCGAGCAGCAGATGGGGCCAGGACAGATGCTGCTGCCCTGTCTGGGGCTGGCTTTGTGCCTTCTTGCTGAAGTCTGGAGGATTTTGGAGTGTTGGAGGGGGCCACGCAGCCTCTCCTCCCAGAACAAGGGCATTTCAGGGTGCAGATGTTGCCCACAGGGTTGAGCTGCTCTTCCAGGGCTGATGAGCCACACCAAGAGCTAAATAAAGTGGGAAAATCCCCTGTTTCCAGCACCAACTCTGAGTGGGCTGGTGGCACGGGCTGTGCCTGGCTCGGCAGCTGGTGGAGAGACACGGGGAACCAGCCCAGCTCTCGGACCTTCCCCAGGCAGGCCACCCCCATCCTGCTGGAGATGGGGTGGGAGGTCTGGTGCCCTTGGTCACCCGTCCTGGCTGGCGATGCTGCTCTCGGCAGCACCGTATTGAAATGGTGTTTTCCCCGGAGCACCGGCGCACACTGAATGGCGAGCTGTGCTGCTTTTCGAGAAGGTGGCCAGCCTGTGGAGCAGGCTGTCCCGGACCGTGGCACCTCTC